TGATCTTTTTCTTTATAAAGTTAACAAGCCTACTAGTGTAAACATCTAACGGGGGCAATAGCAATGGGTGAGAGTCAATTCTATACATCCGGGGTCATTTGCTCATTTAATCAACAAATGAGTAATAATTATTTGTTGTTGATTAAATGAGCAAATGACCTCAGGGTAGAGATGATCAAAGTTAGCCCGACCCGAAAATTTATTTTTTGGGCGAGTTTGTGAATGCGTTTTTATGCATTTTTAGTTAATTTTTTTGGCCTGGCCCGAAAAGCCTGCATGGCCTGACTATTTTGGGCTGGTTTGGAAACAAAATTTCCGGCCCGAAGCTTAGCCCAAATCGACCCGGCCCGAGACTTGGGTGGATTTTTTCAACTTTGGCCTGACCCGAACCCAGCCCGCCCAGCAATAATCACCTCTACTTCGGGGTACGGTGCCCGGTGTATACAAATTCTACCACAACAAACATGAGGCCTTCCAAAGGGAGGCTAGTGAGGTATGAGTAAATGCATAACAAGGGGCATAAGGGTCATTTCACATAAATGGATATTCTGAATTTAGAGTAGTACCATTGGGTGATCAATAGTATCACTGGATGATCAAATAGTACCATTGATCATTCAGTGGTACTATGTATATATGTAGTGATACTATATATTCATTCAGTGGTACTAACTACGTGTAAAAATAGTATCACTACATAGTCAATGATATTATATAAGGTTTCGATGGTACATTTAAAAGTGGTCTCACTTACCCAACTCTCTCCTCCTTTCTTTCACCCCCATGTGCTTTTTAATATTTTAGTATTTATTATGCATTTGCAAAATGTATATCAAATCTACATTAGTACTTTCTCCAGCAAACATACCCTGCTGTTGGTTGCTGCTGAAGAATAATGGAGAACGATCGCCTAATTTCTTCTTTTCGCTCCCAAATTGATTCTACATATTTATACAAATGCATAATTTTTAATTCCGGACTTTCTATTTTTTGTAAAAATTAAACTTAGATTTTAGAGGTTGAGAATGCAAAATGGCGTCACAACTTTCGCATTGTCATTGTTCTAAGGTAATCTAATCTCATTTGTTCTGCTTTGTAATTAATCACTTGAAATGATTTGAATTCTTACATTTTTGCGCTACTTTAATTTACAATTTTGAAATCCTAAACACTTTTTTTTTTAAAATTATAATTTTGTTCAGGTTGAGGATGCTAGTGATTCTAGTGTGAGTAATGCTTTAGCTTCTGTTGAAATTGCTCAAAATTTGCATCAAAGGAGTGGCAAGTAGAGCTGTCAAAAGCTGACCTGACCCGAAATACCGACCCGAACTCGATTATTAGCCGACCTGTCTAAACCCGGAAAAATGATGACCCGAACCCAATATGACCCGACTTGAAACCAACCCTAGACCCGAGTTAACCCGAGTATTTGAGACCCGAACCCGAACAAGAACTGACCTAGAGATGACCTGACCCGAATATAACCCGTAAAATATTAACTTGAACCGAACCCGACCTGAACCGAAATTGACCAAAACCTGTTTTAACCAGTCAAAACCCGAATTTAACCCGACCTGTTACTAATCCGACCTGAATTCAACCCGACCTATTCCTAACCCGACCCGAATTTAACCCGACATATTAAATAACCCGACCCGAATTTAACTCGACCTATTACTAACCCAACCCGAACTTCAACCCGATCTTTCACTAACACGACCCGAAATCAACCTGACTTGTTATTGACCCGACCCAAACTCAACCCGATTTGTTATTGACCTAACCTGAAATCAACTCGACTTGTTATTTTATACATCTTTATTATTGTAGATCAGATACTGAATAAAGATAATATATGCTATATATATTCTAAGTTACTCGTTATGTCGAAACTCCGTAAGGCTAAAACTACTCTATGTTAATATTGATCAAAGTATTTTGTCTTGGATGCAGGGAGTCCAAGTCGATCCAGCAAAAGAAAGAAACATCATCCCCAAATTTAGGCGTTAATTATAGTATATACTTGTTGTACATATATATACCAAGTCTCATATCTTAACCTTAGTGTACATGTACATATATGCATCTCTTTAACTTAGTATACCCACTCCACATACGCATCAAAATCAATTAAGATGAACCATTTATTTGTTTTAGATTCAAGTACTTTTTTTGGTAAATAGTAAATTTTATTACCAAAAGGAGCTGCAAAGCAGCAAAATAGGAATTAAGAAAAGCCCGTAGGCCTAAACCCAAACGCCTAAAGCCCCTAAGGGCACACAACCACCAGCCAAGGACCAAGATCCAAAGGCCACCTTCTAGGAAGGGTTCCAAAGAACCTTGGACCAAACACGGCTCTTCTGAACTCAAAGGAAAGGAGCTACCCTCTTTTTTTATTTTATTTTTATTTTGTTAGCTAATTAAGTCATAAAGTATTAAAGTATTACATTAATCTCCAAATAACTAGCAATTTAGGATCACGTCATATCTTTTTTTTTTTTTCCTCCCCCTAATTCTATGAGTTATTTTCCTATTTAAGCTTATTCAAATACTTTCAATAAAATTTTCTATTATCAAATGTATTACAATTTATATGTCTAAAAAAAAAACCTGTAAAAATTTATGAATACCACTACTTTTTGGATGCATGTGCATTCTTTATTTAAATTTAGTAATTACGATTTACGAATACTACTACTTTTTAGGTGCAAGTTCATTCTATATTTCAATTAAACAATTATGGTTTACGAATACTACTACTTTGTAGGTGCATGTGCATTAATATAGTCAATTATGGTTTAAAAATACTATTTGACCTAAGGCTTGTTTGTTTTAACTTATATTTTATTAAAAAAAAAATATTCAAATAAAAAAAGTTAAAAAAAAATTATAATTTCGGATAATGATTGAATTGAACATGATAATGATTGAATGCGAGCATGAGTATATGACAATGACCCAATGATAATCTGACCCAAATAATTTACCAGTACCCGATCATGACTTAACTTGTTTGGACTCGAGAAAGTGTGACCCGAACTAGAGCAATTAAAAGGCTTTCATTGGTCTTTTATTTTTTTTTAATTTTATTATTCATTTTCCTATTTAATCTTATTTAAATGTTTTGAATAATGCCATTTAAATGTTTTAAAAAAATGCCATTAAAAAAAAAAGTGGACTCGGATACGAACTTATAAAAAATAAATAAGTTTAGATAATTTCAAATAAAATAAGTTTAGAAAAAAATTGTTGTATTTTAACTTATCTAAACTAAACCTATTTTATCCGAATTTATTTGAACTTAGGGGTCGTTTGGTTCGCACAGGGGGGATCAGAATGGAATGCAGAAAGGGAATGCAGGAGAAAGGAAAGGAATTCCCCTAATCTGGGCAAGTTGTTTGGTTGTGCCCAAGTTATAGAATGAATTGTTCATTGATTCCCTTTGTTGCTGTTTGGTTCAAACTAGGGAATCAAACCAGAAATTTTAAAATTTCTCTCTATTTTTTCATATAATAACCTGTTTTTATATAATAAGCACAAAAATAAGAAAAAAAATTATGTTACTGTAATATGGAATAATAGACCTGTAAAATGAAAAAAAGCTCCGAGTGCTATTTTTATATTTTTCATAAATACCTGTAACAGAAAAAAAAATATTGTTCCAAAATAACAACAAAAGTTTTAAACATACCAAAGTTCATAACACCTAATTCAACACAAACAAGGTAACCACGACAAAAGTTTTAAGCACCATCGTTTTCCCTAATAAAACTCTTAACATAACTACTTTTCAAAGCGTCTGGACACTTTGAAAATATCATAAGCTTGTGTGGTTTCGAAGCTAGATCTTCGGCAACTTCAAACACTTGTTTAGGAGTGACACCCTCTAAATTGAGAGAGAGAGTAGTTCCTCTAGCACTTGTTCACTCTGCTGCACTAATTTTTTTTCTCTTTCATGTGTATCTTTTTCACGTTCATTAGTGCTTGCCATTACATTAGCCATAGTGGAAAGATGAACATTCATATCTTTCATGAATGTTTGTAAGCTAGCCAACTCGTTCGAACTACCACCACCATCACTTTTTCTCCTTCTTTTTGCAGTTTTTTCAATCTTGATTTTTTTTAGGGAGGAGAATTAACAGTGCCAAAATCACGGGGTCCCTCATCATCACTTGAATCAAGTGTACCTGCGAAGGGGCAACTTTTTCCAAATGGTTAATTGCTTCAACATAACCTTCAGATGGTTTACCAGTAGCATAGTCTTTGCCATATATATTCTGCAGTTCTTGAAAGTGCGGAAAGGAAACTCCATATAAATTTTTGCAACTTGGATGACTCTGCCAAAGACAAAACGACTCATAATAATCAAATATAACATCATCAAGTATCTCAAACATTATTAAAATGACTTTAAATAAGATGTCATACCTTACAGTACTCGTCATAAACAACTCTTTCAACAGAAACCATTTTCCTTTCATCATCCCAAACAAATCCGCTCGTGTTTAACATTTGAGAAATAGCCCTAAACTTGGCTACAAGTGTCTTCAGTCGAGAATCTATGTGTGGTGAAGCCTTCAAATCACATCCAGGTAGAGCGTTACCGATAACCTCGTCCAATCAAACCATGTAACCGCTTCTAAACCCATTGTCACACCTCCAGTGAGGGTCAACAGCTAGGTCTGATAATGCTGATACAAGAACCCTATCTTCTTCAGCAGTCCAAAATCGCTTGTTTCTCCCCCTTCCACCTCCACTAGCACTACTTTCATCCATCCTTCTATAACATTTGATCCATAATAACATGCAAAGATAACATTTCATATATAAAAATGAAATTAACCAAGAAAATAATCAATACAAAGTATATAAAAGAAAGTAATATCGAGTACAAATACAACATCCATAACTTAATATTAAAATTTTAGTACATTGAAATAAACATATATACAAGTCTCAAGTTCAAATATAACAAACAAATTTAACAAAAATAAAATGTATCACAAAGTAAGTCCGCGTTTTCTAGCCCTCCAATCATTGAACATAGTTTGGGCCATTGTATTTCGAAAATTTGTCCAGGGATTAGTTACATCAATGGAGGTTATATACTCAATATCATCATCATCACTGTCATCACCATTATCACGATCACTGTCACTACTTTCCTCATACAAGTCATCATCATCAAATTCTGAAAGCATGTATCTTTTTACCAAGTTATGTAATAAGGCACATGCAAGCACAATGCGACCATGTGTTTGTAAACTAAACCAAGAAGGACTTCTAAGAATTCCCCATCTTCCCTTGAGTAACTCAAAGCATCTCTCAATCACATTTCTAGCTTTTGCATGCCTTAAGTTGAAATATTCTTCGGCGGTTAATGGTTGTCTGGCCCCCCTATTGCACCATCAAGAGCACCTAAGCAATTTTACAAAACAAACAATATCACTTTAAATTATCTAATAATTTCTAACTTTTTGTCAATCTATCAAATTAAAGTGTTGGTTTTATTTTATTTTACCCTGAAATATTTCCACCTTTCATCGTCGCAATCGTCTTGTATTGGAGTTGGTTTCTTAAGAAGAACAACATGTAACTTTAAGATTGCTAACAAACAAGCATGAAATTGCCTACTAATAGTTTCACCACTTCCATAAAAATGTGCACCCATCATTCTATTTTTCTTATGGTGAGCTAATGTGTATAAAAACCCCGCAACAATCTCTTCCAAACATGTGTTTCTTGTTTCATATAATCCACAAATATCTCTAACCATCTCTAAAAGTACACCGAATGTGTATCGATTTATACGAAGATAGTTCCTACACAACGTGTCACTTTCTTTAATCATTCTATTCAAGTTGTGTAATCTCATTTTTCTTCTTGTGTGTTTATCTAACTTAAGATGTTGAGAATTGTATATTGTTATCCTTATCGAGTACACCAACAAATGTAACAACACAACACAATTAATCATAGTAATTATAAAACGAAGGTGGTCCCAATTTCTCTTCCTTTTCAAAGAAGAACCAATACAAGCCATTTTCAGTACAAAAGAACATCAACAACACCATATCATTGAAAGTTTACATATTTATACAAAAGACATATAAAAGTCTCAACTTAACAAATAATAGAACATGGGAAAGCCAGCAATGATTATAGATAAAACCAACTTAACAAAAACATCTTCTTCATTACAGAACAGTAAAGAAGACAATTTATTAGCTCCACCACAAAATTTCCTAAATTTAAAGATATGCAAGTACCTAAAATGCAATCATGTCTCTGTAGTGACACGGGGAAGAGCTAAACCAAGGACAAGCATTATTTGCTACTCTATACTGTCACATGAAAATAATAAAGCCCTAAACTAATATATCAGCAAATTCAAAAAGTTGTTACTCCTATGGATTCGTATTATTTGAATTTACAGCATGCATAAGTTGCTAACCTTGAAAAATGAGATCATAAAACAGGCAGCAAAATTAGAGAGACTATTATTGATTAATGAACATTCAGCTTAAAGCCAATTTTACATGTCAGTAAGGAAAAAAAAAAGTCTTGGTATCCCTATTAAAATCAGGTAAACATGAACAAGGAGAAAATTGGAAGAAAGGAGCTTTCAAGACAATCAATATTATCCCGAGGGACGAAAATTGGAAGAAATGAGCTTTCAAGACAATCAATATTGCTAATCTTTGCCTTTAATTAACACATGGAAAGTGGCAACAGATGGATGTTCAGAGCACTTCTATTCCTCTGAACCCCTATTCCTTTTTGGCAAATAATTCGTGAATGTTCATCTATCAATTAAAAAAAAAATTGCTGATATATTATTTTTATTTCTATCAATAATTCGTGAATGTTCATCTATCAATAAACATGTTATATCAATATTTCGTATTATTGTAGATTAGAATAAAAAAAAAATCGGAATTAAAAATTCATGAACACTAAGAATAAGACTTCTATAAAAAAATTCAACAAAAACATTCGAATTTAACAAAATAAATCCCAAAAAGCATACGAGTTCGTGAAGTATAAGTAAAAGAAATACGAATTTATGATCTACAAGTAGAACAAATACGAATTCAATTAAAAAAAATGCGACATTGAGAACACGAAAGAGAGGAGGGAGATGCGTGGGACAACAGACATACCTAATCGGCGTCGACGTTGCAGTGGCCGGAGAAACGGCGACAGAGGCGGCGGCTACCTCGAGTTGAAGCTTCAACTTTGGGTTTGAGAGAGAAGGGAGATGTGTGGGTGTCTGGGAGATGGGAGGGAATGAGGAGGAAAGAGAATGGAAAAGGTAGGGGGGTGGGGAATGAGTTTAGAATATTTTTGGGTTTTAATGGAGAATGGGAATAAAAGATGCAAAACAAACACTCACAAACGTAATCATTTCCATTCCCTTTCCCCATTACAGCGAATCAAACGGCCCCTTATTGTATTTTATCTGAACATGTCATCTCGAATAGACTTATCTGAAATTGTTATCCCTAAAATTAAAAGGAATGGTGTCCTTCCAACAAGTGTATTATTCCGATAGAGGGTTCAGAATTATTACAGAGCTAGTTCTTCAGTAAGGTCAAGTGATCGGAATGCCTAGGTGGAGGCCGCTTCCGATCAGTAATATCAAGGTACAGTTGATATTACAGCTTAATCTTAACTGAACCCTTCGGGTCGAACCCAATTGAATCTCCGATCCGAGACGTCGAATTAATCCGAAAGGATTTAATGAGTCGACAGAGTTTTACGAATACAGACGTCGGAAATCGAGCCTAGGGCGTCGATACCGAGCGTCGCAAAATCACAAGAAACAAGTATGAGCGTAGCCGTAGCTAGGCTAGGCTAGCTCATAGCGTGCCTAAGCGCACCATGGTGTGCTAGGCACCATCGCAGCCTAGGCGCGCCCAGGCAGCCCATCGCAAGCTAGCACCATGCTAGCATGGGTGCCTGGGTGCGCATGGCAGCCATCGCAAGCCACATAGGCACCAGGCAGCCCATGGCAGCTAGCAGCATGCTAGCGTGGTGCCTGGGTGCATATGGTGCCCTATCGCAGGCAATGGCCGCACCAGGCGCACCATGGCAAGCACTAAGTGTTGCGTGCGTGCGTGCCCGGCTTGGCAGCACCATTACAAGCACCAAGTGCTGGCATGGTTTGCTGCCTGGCAATGGCGCGCCATGTGCGTATTCTTGTGTGCTAGCCTTCGCATGGCAGCACCAAGCATCACAACACATGCGAGAGGCTGCGCGCCAGCGTGATGCTAGGCCTCGCACAAGCAGCCTCGCACCACAGGCGCATTGATGCGTGTGGGATGGTAATGTGTGAGGTGCAGCGAGGGACGGGAGTATGTGCGTGGTGCGTGGCGCATGGCTGGTGCGTGATGCGAGGCATGTGCGACCAACCAATGCGTGGGATGCGAGGGCCAGCATCAGCGATTCCCAGCAAGCACTAGCTGGGCGATGCATGGATGTGCATGTGATGACAAGGCAGCACCACGCATATGCGTGTGTGTGTGCCTGCGATAGCATCAAGGCAGCACCACGCATATGTGTGTGCGTATGCCTGCGATAGCAAGGCACCAGCGCCAGCGATGCCCAGCAAGTGCTAGCTGGGCGATGCATGCTATGCGTGCGATAGTGGCGCTGGGCAGATTGGCTGGGTGATGCATGGTGCACCAGCCAAGCAAGCTAGCTGGCTGTGCGTGCTGGAAGCGCCAGGTGGTAGCCAGCCTAGCTGCCTTGCAAATGGCGTTTTGAAGGGGAAGTGGGGACCAAAGCCACCAAGCTTCCCTTGGGGAGCAAGGCAATTCTCTCCTTTTGCCACTTGTTGGCTTGTGATTGTTTTGCATAATTATTTATTTTAGAATTAAATAAATTATTGCAATTGCACATGATCCCACATTGATCATGAAAAGGGGTTTCAAGTCCCCATTCTCTATAAATACCCACTTGGTTGGGATTTTGAGAATACAACCTTGAGTGGAATTAAAAAGGCAACTCTTGAAAAGAGTAAACCTTTGATTCGTAAAACTCATAGTTATTTTGTCCGGGTCTTGACTAACCTTCAAGACTTAGGACGCTCGGGTCGGGTCGAGGGTACGATCCGTCGGAGATTTCGTCTTTTCGGGATTTTGAAGTAAGAGCTCTTTGGGAGCGAAGCACGCGTCAAAGGTATAATTCTTGTCCTTAATCTTGTTTGATTAAGTTTATTATGCTTGTTTAATTGCTTTAATTAAGGGGCGGGTCTTGGTGGGTTTCCTTCCGCGTAGTGTCGGGTCACTACGAAACCCTACAAAAATGAGTGGAATCAATGTGAATAGATTAGAACAGGGTTTGAACTTATCTTCTAAATATCTAAACTATACCTATCTTATCTAAACTTATTAGAACTTATTACCTCGAATTTAAACTTATCTGAAATTATTTTTCTTGCAATAAATGAAGTGATTGATAATGAGTAAACATGAATGTCATTACATGAACTGTTAACAAACCGACCCAAAAAATGTACCCGAACCTGATATGACCCGACCTGAAATCAACCTGATACCCAGATTAACCCAATATTTGAGACCTGAACCCGAACACGACCTGACTTGAAAATGATCCGACCTGATTATAACCTGCAATTTTTGGACTTGAACCAAACCAGACTTGAGCCCGAACATGACCTGACTTGTAAATGACCCGACCTGATTGTAACCCGCAAATAATTGACTTGAACCGAACCCGACTTGAACCCGAGAATGACCCGACTTGGAAATGACCCGACCTGATTATAACCCGCAAATTATTGACTTGAACCGAACCCGACTCAAACCCGAGAAAGACCCGACCTGATTATAACCCGCAAATTATTGACTTGAACCGAACCCGACTCGGACCCGAGAATGACCCTAACCCGTTTTAACCCGACCTATTATTCACCAAACCCGAATGTAACCCGACCTGTTATTAACTCAACCTAAACCCAAAAAGATGTATGACCCAACGACGTTATCCGACTCAAGCATGACCCAACCTGAACCCGACCCCTATAGGTTACGACATTAACCCGAAATGACCCGAGCGACACTTACCCGACCCAAACCTGACCCGTTAACCGAATTAACAGCTCCAATGGCAAGAGTAGGAAAATAAAGTCAGAAGGTTGGTGAATTATAAAAAATATTTGTTTTAAAGTTTTATGGCTGATTGAGTTAATGATTAAGCTTATAATGGTCTAGTTCATATTGATTGTCTTGTATATTTTCCTAGTGTGAAAATTTCACTATACGAAGACCCGAACTTGTCGATAGTTGGAGACTTTGATCACTCAAGTATAATGTGGAATATTATGTAGAAAAAGAAACAATATATATTTTTTTATTTCAAAATTAGACAACTTGTGAATTTTATAGGTCATTATTGTCTTACATTCTAACTACCCAAATTAATGTGAACAATGTACTAGTAATATAATTTCATGGCCATGTATGGCAATGAATTGTATGGATCACGTGTCCTGTTTGAGATTATTTAGGCATTAACTTTGATCATGTATCCTAATTTATAGTTTTAGTTGATTATTTTTACTCTCCTATAAATTATGTAGTGTACTGCAAGTTAATGTGTAGCGATTAATAAGAGTATTATTATGTTTCATTCTCTCTATATTATTTACGTTTATTAATTCAACATGATATCAAAAGTTTCAGGTTATATTCGAGAGAAGATAAGAGAAAGAGATGAAAAAAAAGCGAGTATTAAAAAAAAATAGAGTAAGAGAAACAAGCAACGCAGCTTGATTTCATTGATTGTTTGTGAGCAATAAGTTTTTTACGAGAATTTTTTTATGTTTAACCATGGAATTGAAGTAATGGTTGTTTTGGTGTGTTGATGGGTTCCCTTTTAGCCCATTAATTTTAATCCAGTAAAAAAAGAAGGCAAAAATTTGTTTAAGATAAAAATCGAGTAATCTTTACATGTGTGGAAGTTGTAATCAATGCAGAGACGGTTTCCAAGATTATACCAAAGATAGTTTTTTAGTACAATATAATAAGTTGACATGGTCCATTGAAGGACAATGCTAAAGAGAGTTGATGGAGAGATGTGCTCTATTAAATGTAAGTTGGTGAAAATGTTCATCAAGAAGATCAAGTATTGATGAGAAGCGCATAAACAAAAATGTCAAGGTGTGGTTGTGGGGAGAGAAGTGCTACGAGAATATCGTGTTGGTGATAATGATGTGCATCAACAATATTTTGTAGGTGATGAGATGTGTGTCACAAATCAAAATGTCTAGCAAGATGTTTTGAAATTTGAAGTAGAAGATAGCAGGGTCTTCTAAAGTCAAGTGTGTGGTCATGTCACGTGTTCATGTTGAGATTAAAAAAGAAGTGTGCCTAGATAAAAAGTCCGTAAGCAAGTGTTGGAGTTACCCAACTTTGAAGCAAGGGGGTGTGTTGAGTTTATTCCTTCAAAGTTTTCGATTTCCTAATAATTAGTAGTGGCTAGTATTTTCAACGAAGACTTCCTTAGAATTAGGAGTGAGTATTTTAGTGGGTCTTAGGTGTTATGTTAAGTTGATTAATGGGTAGATTATTTAGGCATTTACTTTGATCATGTAATCATGATTATATTTCTATTTTACAGCTTTAAATGTGCAGCGATTAATAAGAGTATTATTATTGTTTCATTCTCTCTATATTATTTACGTTTATTAAATCAATATAATATCTTGAACTGAAATATTGTGCTCCTCGCAGGTCGGCCTTGATTTAGGGCACTCTAATTATTACTTTATTATTATCCTATGATGGAATCACTCATCTCTTTTCTTCTCTTTGGCTCCAAGAGCTTTGAATAACTTGATGAATGATGATGGTGTCAAGCAGTGGCGAATCTTGGACAAAATAAAGAGTATAGCATACACACTTATCATATATAGCGTGTATTGTGACATTCTTATTTATGGAAAGTGTAACATCTATTACAAATAGAAGATAAATACGAATCAGTAGTAATGAATTATCCACTAGTCAAATCCCCCAAATATAGATTAAATAATGTTGTGGCTAAAGAGGAGATACAGTTATAAATTAAATTATAATTTTAGAAAGAACTTAAAAAAAACTCCAAGTAGTCAAGAATTAACAAGTACAGGTCACAATGCAAAGGTCATTAGTACAATGATAACTTGAGGATCGGAATGATTTGGGCTTAATTACTTGTTTTTAGTTGAATAATAATTTGATATTTGAACATAAGAGAATGAATAGGGTAGTAAGTTAAAAAAAAATTAAAAAAATCGAAAAGCTACGAATTTAAAAGCTAAATAGTGACTAAATATAGAAGCAAGTGATACTCACCCATCATAAGCTTGGTATGTGGCATGAGATTAATTCGGATGTAACTGGGGTTAAACTTCTGTGAATTAGATGTACTTCCTAAGAAAATTTGCTTCAAGAGATATACGTGTACTTTTTATCTTCTTCCAACGAATTCAAGGTAAATTCCAAGAAGCCACTAATTAAAATGCTTAATAACATATTCATTAATGCTTGTATTTTGATGGATGGATAAATTAAAAAATCCAAATTTAAATAATATCTACCACAGATGTTGGTTGCTAGGTTGTAGTACTAATTATATAGGTACATAATTAAGAGAATGATATTAAATTAAACCAATTAAATTTGTATATAAATAGGCGGAGAATCCCTTATATAAGACAAACATTTCTAAGCGATTTAATTAATTAATAAATTTACTAATAGTCTTCTAAATCTATCACTCGAAATGGAGGGAAAAATGGTTTTCTACAAATCCAAGAACAATGTAGTAGCCATTCTTTTCATCCTGGCTCTAGGTAATATAAGTAATTTCTTTGTAATCACATATGATGCAATTAATTAGTCCATTATATTTGTAGGTGTTTCAATCATTATTAGATAAATTTTATCATCTAAGTACTAATGGTTTATTCGATACAGTAGTTGATAATTGATTGCGGTAATGAGAATGAATTTGAGTGTAATTTGACAAGAAATAAAGTAGCATCATAATTAATGTGGTTTTTATCATAAATTAAGGTCAATTAGCTTAGCATTATGTATCATGGACCTTAGTGTCTGAATTGATCTCTTATAAACTTACAACACAAATTCATGTTCATTAGCTTGATTTATTATTGTATACGTATACCAAATAGATCGTACGATTATTAACCCTATAGATTGATGCTATATGTGAAACTTTTGCAGTGCAAATCGTGATTGTTAAATCTGAGAATTGTGGTATTACCGGAGAAAAATGTTTATCTTTCTTATTTATGAGTGATTGTTGTCTGGGATATAGGTGCAGCAAAGGTGCTGGTCACAAATGTGTAGAAGGTAAGTGGAAAACTATGTCATTATTTTCTTATGATATAAGTAATTGAATTGTGATAATTTGTTTTTTAATTTTTTTGACAACAAATTGTGATAATTTGGTTCAGATCAAATTATTTTGAGTCGAGTTAGATTTTGACAATTTTACTCCTTATGTAATATGCTTCGTAAAATTTTAATTGTAGACCCCAAGCAACATTGCACGCCTATGGGGGGATCTTGTGACCCATACAACCCATGCTGTGGAAGAAACTATTGTTCATACGCAAGCGGTACATGTCAACAATGATTATCATAAGGCTCGTTTATGTGGAGCTTTATTTCATTTGAATTTGTTAGATTGGCTATTTTAATGGTTGTTCCAGCTAATAAATAAGAAGTACTAAGGATATAAAGTACTCATTTATCATTGTAACAATAATTTACAAAATCAGTATTATAATGCACTCGAATTTTTTCATATGTGATTTGGAAAATATAAGAGTATAAACATTTGAATTAATGTAAGATATTGTTCAAATTTAATCAATCAATAACACAATACTAAAACAAACACCAAGAATGACATGTGTCACTTCCTGATGCTGTCATTTTCCCTCCAAAATCCCTTTTTCTCTCTTTTTTTTGGAAAAATTGTCGAGAATAATACGACCTTTTAACGGCATTCCAAAAATAAAACAACCTTTTGATTATTGCGGAATGAAACGACCATTGACATTGATCTTCCATAAATAGGATAAAAAATCGGTAACTTGTTTAATAGGTTAAAGACGAACATGTGTCACGTTATGATTGGTAAGAATTTTTTATTTTAATTTTTCCATATTTTTTTAAATAAATGATAATTTATAAAAAAACTTAATTAATAAGAAAAAAACCCCTCCCACCCCCTAGTTCCGGCAGCCCCCACCTCCTTCCCTCCCCCTTCCGACCAGCCCGCCCTTCTGACCACCCTATCCTCTAATCCTCTTCCACTCCCTTTCCGACCACTCTAACACCCTCCCCTCCCTTTTCTGACCACCTTATCCCCAGACCATGTTCCTCTTCCCCTCCCGTTTTCAATGTCCCCAACCACTTCCCCTCCCATTTCCGACGACTACGCCCCTCCCTTTTCCCGTACCACCTCTAACTTCTCTTTCCTTTTTCAAAACCTTACCCACACTCGTTCCCTCTATTTGAATATATTTTGATTAAAATTTTTTAAACATATAAAGATCACAATAGGAAACATTATATAACAATGAATATATTTGATTCAAAATTAAAATAAATTGATTCTTTAATATACACGTGTATATAATCACACTTTCTAAATTTTTTTACAATATCATTATTATTAAATCTCTTTTATTTGATTAATCATTACTATTAGATGGGACAAATACATTATGTTAATATCACAATATCTTTACTATAGATGCACCATGCACGCACAATATCTTTACAATATCACACTCTTATATAGATTTGTTGGGATAATTCTAACATTTCTGTCAAAAGTTTAGATTTAAATGATAGGTGTACTCACTTACTTGTTAATTACAAACCTATTGCCCATGCTCAAGAGGAAGAAAAAGATATCTTTTTGGACTATTTAACTACATTATGTCGAAATACATACTCACCTACCATGGCTGCTATTAGGGGATTTTAATGAGATGTTAGATTATAGTGATAAAATTGGGGGTCACCCATTCACCCCGCAACAATTGCGTAGACTTCCAAATTTACTTATACCAATCCTGTAGATGTTGCAAAATGCTTTCTCGTGGAAACAATAGTATGCTAATAGTGTCATCTACGAACGTTTGGATAGGGCAATTAGTAGTAGAAGTTTTCTGCAATTATTTCCAAATAGTAATGTTTCATATGGTACGTTTATAGTATCCGATCATGCTCCCCTCATTTTTGACTCTAATTTCCCCCACCACTAATCGGGACCTCGGCCTTTTTTTAGATTCCAAAATTTTTGGACTATAGAATAGGAGTCTTACTCTATTTTTCTGAAAATATGGCCTTCTAATATTCAAGGTACTCAATTTTATAGAATCCAACATAAGATGCAACGAATCAAGTCTGAACTCTATGGTCAAAGCGAAAAATTTGGTAATAATAATAATCAACTTTTGAGAAATGAGGAACAAATAAATAATCTAGAAGAATATAATCATTACAAACTCAACCTTTCAATCTTATTTTAGTCAGTCATATTAATCGCATGATTCGTCAACGGGAAAAACTTCTTCTCTTTGGGCAACGCAAATGTGGTACCTTAGGACGAAAAAATTGGCCAACTTAGGGAGACCTAAATATAAGATTTTTTATAATAAGATGAAAAAAAGAATTGCTCTTACTACTATTTATAAACTAAAACATAATGACGATTCTTGGGTAGAGTCTCCTTTAGATATTCGAAACATGCTTCTAAACTCTTTTCAATCCAAATTCAGATCTAATTACTCTTCCCCAAGAGATTTTGACCTTTCGTTTGTTGAAAGTTTTTTATCGGATAATGATCGTCGGGAGCTTACAGCTCTCATATCACATGAGGAGATAAAAAATGCATTTTTCAATATGAACCCTGATAAGGCTCCTGGTTCCGATGGTTTTGGGGCCAAACTCTTCTTATCCGTCGATATTAGCAAAAGGACGTCACTTTAGCTATCCAAAGTTTCTTCTCTCATGGCCACTTGCCTCCCTCGATAAAATCATACTACTATTACTTTGATTCCTAAAGTGGAAATTCTTGAAACACTAAATCATTTTTGGCCAATAAGTCTTGTTAACTCTTTATTAAGGCGATTTCTAAGATTATGGTGAATTGTCTATGCCCAATTCTACAACATGTCATTAGTCCGCTACAAAATTATTTCACTTTAGATAGATCTATCCATGAAAATCTCCTCATTGTTCAGACGGTCCTTCATGTTTTCCAAAAATCTAAAAACAAAACAGGTGCTTTGAAATTAGATATGGAAAAGGCTTATGATAGGATTGAATGGGACTTCCTGTGGTCTTGCTTAAAGGCACTTGGATTTCCTGATCAATGGATACTTTTGATAGATTGTAATTTTGTATGATTATAGAGTGATTTTTTAGCCTTGAATATGTGAGGAATCGATGCCTTAGTTCATTAATAACTCTATTTCTATGCATTTTTTGTGTATTACATGCTTCACGGGGTTGTTATTGTTTTTGATGACATTTTAGGTCCCAAGAATGGATTAGCAAAGCATCCCGGGAAGTAAATAAGGAATTTAGATCGATGAGGAAAAGTAGTGAAGCAAAAATGAAGAAGAAAGAAGCAAGATCGAAGAAAAGGCCTTAGAAGACCCTGCACGGCTGTGCCAGACCTTGCACATCCGTGCAGAAGTGTTCCAGCTTGAGCAGAAGTTCTTGTTTCATTTCCACAACCTCTACACGGCCGTGCAAAATCAAGCACGTCCGTGCAGCTAAGGATGCACGTCCGTGCAGGATGCCTGGGTTCGAATCAGTAGCACTTCCCTGCTCTCCCTAGTCTTGCACGGTCGTGCACAATATGGCACATCCGTGCAGAGTGCCTTACCCCAAAACAGTAGCTACTGAATCAACATTTCATGTTCTGTACGGTCGTGCATAAGGTGGCACGTCCCTGCAGACCTGCAGTCAAGTCGTTTCTTGTTTTCTCTGTCCTTTTTACCTAGGGGTTATATAATAATCCCTTGGCTTCATTAGGGGGATCTTCTTCTCCCTTAGTCTTCTTTGGCCTTTTCTCTTAGTTAACAATGTAGATCTTTAATAAATTAGTTATTTTAGCTTAGAATCTCTCAAACTCAAGCATTGTAGAAGATAGTTTCGAGCTTTATTCTCTCAGTTTCAATATATCTCCTCAACTTTGAAGCTTCAAGAAGTAATTTCTTCCTCTCTTCTCTTCTTAATTTTCTATTTTATATGGTTTTGTGGATCTTAATTTTCTCTTAATCCTTGTTAATGTTCTTACATGTTCAATGTTAGAATGTTACTCTTATCCATAATTTGTAAGTTGTTACTTAGCTAGGGGTTGGGTGAAAACCCAACTAAGCTATGGGTTGATTAATTTGGATTTATTCATGTTGTTTTACTTTGGGTTGATAGTCGTTTATGTTTGAATTGATTGTTGCATGTGTATTTTGGTGGCCACTTTATGCTCATGTGTTCATTCCCTTACTCACATTGAAAGATGAGGTTTGGTAGTGAGTCCCTTCTTATGCAATTTGATTATGCCTCTTTCATGACTATAGATGCTTTGTTTCAATGAATAGGATGCTTTAGTATGATAATTTAGGTGAGAAATCCCAATTATATGTGCTTCATGCTATCTCGGAGCGATCGAAAGACAAACTCGAGTTATAAACCCACTTTTTATCATTGAGATTTTTGTTTCTTATCATGTTAGTTGTTTGGTCTAGGAAATACTTAGTGTTGTGGCTTTGAAAGATGTCAACATTGAGTTCCCATTCTATCCCCCAAGTATAATTCATGTTTCATCCATTTTATCGATTCATTGGCTTGGTATGTGTTGAACCCCATTTATCCCTAGCACTTCTTTCCCTTGTCATTTCTTTAGTCTAAACTAGTTAGTCCATAAACTTCCAATCCTTGAATCGGTCTAGCTTATTATAATTAGCACTTGTCGGTGATTCCCCTTAGTCCTTGTGGAAGAATGACCCTTACTTACCACTATGCTTAGGTTAGTGGTTAGTTAGGTAGTTTGACTCTAGGGTGTTTTCCCAACGACCAAATATCCCTTCTGATTAAGGGATTTTCCCCAGCCAGTCATCATCTGACAAGTGGACCATTCAGGCCCTGCCATGTGTCCGCCACATGGACCAGTTGGAGCCTGCCACGTGTCAAGTGCTGATTAGTCCACCTTGGACCAGTTGTGCCACGCCACGTGGCCTCCCCTAAGCCAAATGGGCAAAACGGCCACCTAGGCCCAGTCTCCGGAAGAAGCCCAATTAGCCAAGGTTGACCTAAACCTAGGACTGGCACGCTTCCCAAGGCATATAACTACACTCATTAATCCTCATTAGAGGGGGATTCAGCAATTAATTACTCTCACCTAGAGAAGCCTAAACACATTGATCACTCCTCACCTAGAGGGACCAGATCTCCTACCTTTACTTTTCCGCACTTATTACTCCTCAAACAAGTACTAACTTGACCGTCGGAGGCGGAACTCCCACCATAAGGAGTCTCCGTTGTTTTGCAGGTACATGCGCAAGGATACCAGTCCCGGAATTGTAACTCTCCCGCAGGACATCAAAAAACCCCGAAACATTTTGGCGCCGTCTGTGGGGAGAGTACTTTCGAGATGGAATGACAGTCTATACCGAATCTAGAAGAGAGGCGTCCAGTGGACGACCCTCAGGTCTACTTAGACCAAGATACTGATAATGAGGTCGAGGTCGAGGTGGAGACGCACACGGCCTCAGACGGGACCCTAAGGGCCCGACGCACCCGTCCCACCGAGAGGAGGGAACGGGAGGATTGGCAAGCTGGTTCAACCAGCCAGCCAGCCAGCCCACCGCCTGAGCAACAGCAGGCGGCTGAGGGATCTGCTCCCATTACAAGGAATGAACTCATGACCTTCATGAGGGGATTCAAGGGAGAGATCCAAGAGTTGATTAAGAAAAGAACGCCTGTTCCTGCAAAGGAACAGTCGACTAGAAAGTCCTCCCACTCTGGAAGGATGAAACCAGTTACTGATCGTACAGCAACCCCCTACCCAAAGCTTGGGGCTAAGCAGTCACCTGTACTCGATTGGACGAAGTATCACTTCCCGTCACCAGGGAAGAGAAAGCCCATTCGTTATGTTCAAGCGGATGGGTCAAAGAAAATGTACTCGGATGCTCGATTGTTGCTAGAGCAGAAGAAGAGTGACCGACTGTCTGAGTCGGCCTCTACTTCCGATTTTCAAGACAGTCTGCACAATACCTCCATGAGGTATTCACAATCAAATTATGAGAGCCAGACAGGCGGCACCTCCCGTTGGTCCGGATCCCATAAAAATCAGTCGGCTCCGCATGTGCCACACCAGCCATACGTGCCGCAACAACAATATTTCTTGCAGCCTCCTCTATTTGGAGGGAAGGCGGCAAGAAACGTCCAGCCTTTGGACTGGAAACTACGGTTGCTTAGACTTGGAGAAAAGCCGTCCGCCTTCTCCAAGGAAATTATTGAGGCCGCCCAGCCATCCAAAGTGAAGAATGTATTAGTAGGCGCCTGTGATGGCACTACGAATCCAGAAGACCATCTGATGGCTTTCACCAACCTGATGTACCTTCAAGGGTTGGATGATCCCACCTGGTGCAAGTACTTCCCAGCCACTCTAAAGGGAATTGCTCAACAATGGTTCGGCAATCTGCCGACTGGTTGTGTGAACAACTTCAAGACCCTCGCTTACCTGTTCACCTCCAATTTCGCCATGAATATCCCTGCTAAAAAGACAACCCTTGACTTAGGGACCATACAGCAGGGAGAGAAGGAGGGACTCCGTTCCTACATCAGGCGGTTCAACCTAATGAGGATTCAGGTACAAGGGCTGCCGGATGAGGTAGCCTACACGGACTTTTTCAGAGGTCTCAAGGATGAGTCGACCTTCAAATTTGACTTGGTCTGGAAGAGGGTTGCTACCCTTCAAGAAGCCTTAATTGAGGCTGAAGCCTACATACAGGCGACTGACCTGTGTAATAATGGGAAGCAGTCGGACGGAAAGAGGTCCGACAAAAAAGAAAGCCGACCAAAGCAGTCGGCAAATAAAGATGAGAAGAAGAGAAAATAAATCTGGGCAGCCGACTCCTCTGAATAACTGTCCCAGAAAAAGAAAAAAGAATACAAACCATACTCTCCCAAGTATGCGTTCAATAAAATCAAGGGCCGGATCTCAATTGAGAAGCCGGCCCCCATGAAAGGTTCTGCGAGCAATCGGAACCAAAGTAAATTCTGTCATTTTCACGAAGACATTGGTCATGAAACCAATGAATGTATCAGCCTCATGCGCTACCTGGACCGCCTGGCAGAAAAAGGCGATCTTGACTCCTACGTCAAGAAGCCCAAGGGGAATGCTCCCCCCAAACAGAAGCAGTCGGCCAAGAAGAGTCACCGGTCGGCTAACAGTTCTGATACTGATGACGCAGTCGTCTATACCATAGCAGGCGGCTTCGCAGGAGGCGGCCCCACAATCAGGGGCAACAAAGATAACATCAGGCGGTTGGATGTTAACTCCGTCAATCAAGGACGGACCGCCAAGAGTACATTCCCAGAAATTATTATCACAGAAGAGGATCTGGGAGGTGTTAGGGGGCCGCATGACGATGCCATTGTCATTGAATGTAAATTGGCCAATCAAAGAGTTGGTCGGATCCTCAGAGATACCGACAGTTCCTCTGATCTCATCAGCAACAAGTGCTTGGCAAAGCTCAAGTACAAACCTGACTGCATACATCCGGTATCTCACCCTTTAGTAGGGTTTGGAGGAAGTTTCCTACAACGAGTGGGGCAGGTGGATTTGCCCATCCGCCTGGGTGAGAAAGGGGAGGGCCGTTACATGGTGGTTCAGTTCTTAGTTGTGGAAGAGCTCTCGGCCTACAACATGATCCTGGGGCGACCCACCCTAAACAACTCAAAAGCTGTCATTATTCCTTCTCTTATGTTGCTCAAGTTTGAGAAGGATGATGGAACAGTCGGCTCCCTACGGGGAGATCAGAAGATGGCACGAGAGTGTTAATCTCTCTGATATTAAACCCACTATAGCGGCTGCTGGTCCAAGTGGAGAGAAAAATGACCTTGAACAAATCAAGGAGAATGCGCCTGCAGCAGGCGGCAAGAAAAGAAAGGCTGCCCAGCTGGGGGCCGAGAGAAAAGAAAAACGATAGCAATCACTGGCAGAGGAGCGGTCAGACGAATTTCGCGCTCATCCGACAGGTGAGCATACGGATGTCGTCCCGGATGACTCATGTCCTGACCGAACAATCAAAGTTGGGACGACTGCTCTTACAGTGCTGGGTGATGATCTTCACCAACTCTTGAAGGAATTCAAGGATATCTTCGCATTCGAGGTTCATGAAATGCCAGGTATAAGTCCAGACCTAGCTGTGCATAAACTAGCTGTGAATCCAAAAAAGAGGTCGGTCCGGCAAAAGAAACGGAACCATGGTGAAGAAAGAAGTAAGGCGGCTGCCGCCGAGGTTAAAAAATTGCTTGATGCAGGGTTCATTCGATAATGTTATTTCCCTGACTGGGTTGCAAACGTTGTACTAGTAAAGAAGCCGAATGGTACCTGGCGAATGTGTGTGGACTACACTGATTTGAATAAGGCGTGCCCTAAAGATAGCTATCCATTGCCTAAGATCGACAGTCTGGTCGACTCAACAGCCGGCCATGCCTTAATGAGCTTCATGGACGCCTACTCTGGTTTCCAACAGATCCCCTTGTGGAAGAAAGATCAGGAGAAAACGACCTTTGTCACTGATCAAGGGTTGTATTGCTACACGGTCATGCTGTTTGGTTTGAAAAACGCCCCGGCCACCTTCCAAAGAATGATAAACACGGTCTTATTTGACCAAATTGGAAGGAATGTCAAGGCATACATAGATGATATGATTGTAAAATCCAAGCTTCAGACGGACCATCTGGCCGACCTCCGAGAAACCTTCACCACACTCAGGCGGCACCATGTCATGCTGAATCCCAAGAAATGGCCGACTGATCGCCAATCTGGAGCCAAGAGAACCAGTCGTCCAGGGGCATAGGCAGTCGGTACCCAGTGCCTGTTTGCAATCTTTGGCTTATGATAAGTTACAAATTTTAAAGCATTTTAGCCGAAACAGTCGGTAAGGTATGCAATCGGATATCAAGGATCCTCTACACTTGGCAAAAATAAAGCATAAACAATATTCAGTAAGAAAAGACGACCGAAAGATGGTCGCCACATTCATATATAAACAACCGGCCATAAAGACCGGCAAAATATTCATAAACCTCGGCCCCTTGGCCGGGTAAAGAGATACAAGAAAAAACGGCACGCAGGCTGGAGAAAAGTTTAAAAAATGAAAGCTTTAAGCATTGGGAGGGGCTTCGGTGTTAACTGCCGCCTGATCGAGCTCAACGACGGGCGCTTGATTCTTCAAGGCATCCTCCTTTGTCGACTCGTTTTCAGGGGCAGGAGCTCTAGACGCATCTGTCTCTGTTGGTTGAAGGGCCACCACCTCTTCCTCCTCTTCTGAGTTGGAGCCGGCTGCCTCCTCTTCCTTCTCGTCCTCTTCAGCCGCCTGCTGCATGATTCTTCTGTTGTACTCTTTAGTACAAGCATGGAATGTCTTATCCCATGCGGCATAGCTAGCTTTTGGGAAGAGGGACGACCAAGTCATCTTCATGATAATGGCCGAGTCCTCCATCATGGCCTTGGCTAGAGCCAGCTTCTTAGTCTTGGCCTTCGCATTAAGATCTTTGGTGATGGCCGCCTCCTGCTTCTCCAGGCGCTCCTTGAGTGTGTCCAGAGACGTTTGCACACCTTCAGCCTTATGGGCGATGTTTTTGAGCGGACGCAGCTCGTCTTTGAGGCTCTTGACCATCTGCTCCAGCTCCTGGTTCCTTTTGTTGGCCGCCTCCAAATTGCCCTTGATCTCCAAAGTGGCCTGAGCCTGATAATAAAGAGTATCAGTTGTCAAAATTTCATTTTGGGCAATTTGAAACATTGCCTTGTCAAAGTCAGAGGTGGCCATGGCTTTGGCAGCTTTTACCTCTTTGTTTTTGGCGCTGATCGGCCTACGGAGGCCGTGTACACGGAGCATAGTCTGAAAAAGAAGAACCAGGCGCCAGATTTGCAAAAACAGGCGGCAGGCAAAGTCAATCAACATTTTACCAAAAAAAAAAATGCTAAGTATACCTCGGAAAGGAGACCCATGATGCCGTCTAGGTCAAGGGTGCCGACTCCCTTGAACGCATCCCTCTCCTCTAGAGGGATGGCCTTAACCATAGACTTGACCATTTGAACCAAGTCCGGTTCTTGAGGGTCGCCTGCATTCAGAAAAGAAAGCATCAGAGCACAAGGAGAGTATTGAAGAAAAGTTTAAGGCAAGTCTAGTAGAGTCGGATTGTACCTCTTGGAGGCCGACTGTCCCTTGGGACTTGTAATTATTTTCCCCCACTCTTGGGGGTTTGCGGATGCTTCTCATTCGCCTGTTTCCTGGAAGAGCCAGACGTACTCCCAGTGGCCAGTTTGCGCGCTTTCACAGCCGGCTGCTAGGAGGAAGAGGGTTTGGACGAGCCTACCTGCAAAACCATAAAAGATTAGTAATGGCAAAGAAAAGCTTTCAAAGGAAAAATCTTGATGGTTTGGAACTTACTATGGGCATCTCCTTGGCAGGAGAGTCAACAGAGGTCCGCCTCTGGCTCATAATTGAGGTCCGCAACAAGGCGACCTCCTTCTTGGACGTAGAGATGTGGTCCATAACTTCAACTGAAAATAAGCCCCACAAAGAGTTAGAAAAAATTTGAAGGCAAGAAACAAAAGATGCATATAGATGCACAAGAGGCCGGCTACCTCTGGAGGTCCGACTGCTAAGGCCACAAGCGGCCAAAAAATACTCATCATAGAGCCATTGAAATTTGGGGACGCAGTTTAAGGGCACCTGCTCTCGTACCCCAGTAGTAGAGTTTGCCCTTATCTCTACTTTAAAAAGTCCTCGGTCAAGGATCTCCTCCCTAGCCCGGCGAGGGACAAGCGGCATGCTACGGCCGCCTGCTAGAAGAGGCAGATCCTTGTTCCACCTATTGTAGCGCTTGTTCAGCAGCTTGTCAAGACTGGCAATTATGAGGAAGGTGTTTCTCCAATCCTTCCATTTATTTTCCTTCCCCCTCGTCATCAAATAGCCCTTGTGGCTTGTTATTTGGTACCAGCCGGTACCGCTTGCTTTGGGGGTTCGGCTAAGATAATTCATATGGGTGAACGCCTCAAAATTCGGCTCCACCCCATGCATTTCACATCCGGCTACATAGCCAAGGATGTTGAACCAGGAATTTGGGGCTAATTTCCATAGCCCCACCTCGTATCCATCGAGGATTTGTTGAACGGCCGGATGCAAGGGAAATCGAAGACCAGCCTTAATGGCCGCCTCGTAGCAGCCAAAACAGGCATCCCCGTAGCTATCCCCCGCGGGCCAGACGACTGCATCTTCAGCATCCGGCACAAATAATTGAAAATCAGGACCCATCACGTGGTCCGATAGAAAAGAGTCTATTCGTTCTTTCATGGCCTTGATTCGGCCCTTTGGGACATGACAGTAGTAAGGAGTATTCAACTCCCTATGGGAGGGCGGATGGTTCTGACCAGTCGTCCCCCTTATCAGCCGCATGAGAAAGTCTCGCCTCATGCAAATGAGAATGCCTTTCTTCTGAGTTTAGAGAGAGGCGGCTTGAAGAGCTAGAGTCAGACTCACTATTAGAAGAGTCCGGCTCCTCCCCTCTCCCTAAGGGGGCCGACCCCTCTTCTTCTTCAGGGGCCGACTGCTGACTGGCCAAGTCAACAGTAAAGTGGGAAGGGGCCACCTTAGCCCCCTCCTCAGAGCTCATGGCAAGAGAGCCGCTTTGGGTACCTTCAGCATTAAGCGTCTTGTCTGATGTCTCGCTCACTAGTACATAGAAAGAGGAACCATCCGAGCTGGTGTATCTGGCTGTCCTCTTAGTTCGGGACATTGTGTTCTGCACAGACACAGAGACAGTCGGGCTATGTACAAAGGGCGAAGATTGGTCCAGAAAGGGCAGGCTGCACTCCTAGTCCTAGATTTAGCCGTCCCCGGTGACCGACTGATCACTAGCCTAGGTCGTGCCGAGTGCTTTCGAGGTACCATATTTCACAAAAAAGAAAGTAAAGAAAACACAAGAGAGTAGACGATTACCTGAGTAATATGAGTTCTGGAAAGAAGGAAAAAGCAGTCGTCCAACGAAAGCAGTCGGCTTGTCAGAAATAATCGGTAGGTCAAAAGTTGCAAAGTGTTAGAGCTCAAGTGCAAGGGTCCGAGTGTTCTCTTTCAGAAAATGCAAAGTGTGAACAAAAGACTTTTGCTCAAGGCCCTTATATAGAGAATTTGTGGAAGTTGAAGAGTCGCTTTCAAATTCAAAAAATGAGCAGGAAAAACGCTCGGCCCATCATAAGGCGACACCTGTAGCAGGTCGTCGCCTGTTACAGGCCGACACCTGTCACAGGTGACATGTGACCAGTCACGTGCCACCTGTGAGGGGCAAATGATTAAGGGATTTTCCCCAGCCAGTCATCATCTGACAAGTGGACCATTCAGGCCCTGCCATGTGTCCGCCAGGAGCCTACCTAGGCTTTGTCTCCTGAAGAAGCCCAATCTGCCCTAGGTTGACCTAAACCTAGTACTGGCACGCTTCCTAAGGCATATAAATACACTCATTAATCCTCATTAGAGGGGGATTCAGCAATTAATTACTCTCACCTAAAGAAGCTTAAACACATTGATCACTCCTCACCTAGAGAGACCAGATCTCCTACCTTTACTTTTCCGCACTTATTACTCCTCAAACAAGTACTAACTTGACCGTCGGAGGCGGAACTCCTACCACAAGGAGTCTCCGTTGTTTTGCAGGTACAGGCGCAAGGATACCAGTCCCAGAATTGTAACTCTCCCGTAGGACATCAAAAAACCCCGAAACACCTTCCGTCAACTTTGGATCAAGGAATGTGTCACGAAAGTTTCATATTCCATTAAAATTAATGGTGAGACAACTGAATGGTTCAAACCCTCTAGAGGATTACGCAAGGAGACCCTCTTTCTCCTTACCTGTTCATTATTTGTATGGAAATTTAAACCAAGAAACTTTCCATTGAAAGCACTAATTGAAAATCAGAAATAGGTTTCAAAACCTCTCCAAGATCTTTTAATATCCCTTGCTTATTGTTCGCTGACGATAGTCTTGTCTTTTGTAAAGCCACTCTAACAGCTTGTAAATATTTAAAACTTATACTTGACAATTTTTGTAACCTTTCGGGCCAACTTATAAATTTCCATAAATCTTCCATGTAATACTTCGTATTTTTATAATATTTTTATATATAAAAAATTATTTATTTTATTTATTTTTATAAATTAAAATGATTCATTTCATTTTAAAAAGAATTAATTATTTAAATATTATGCAAGTGTGTATAAAATAATATGGTTAATTAATTAAGGCAATAAAAGTGTTTTGAATTGAGTCATCTTTATTTAAATGGTTGGACCAACTTGTTGGGAAATTGAGAATACTTAAGAGCCCAACAAGTTGGCCCCAAAGGAAGAAGTTAAGGGGGAGTAGGATTTAGTAATGACAGTCTCGTAAATATGAGTTTTTGTTTTAAAAGGGGAGTATAAATACTTTAAAACCTCAAGATTTTCCACTCTAAAATCATAATTGTCAATTTTCATAAAAACCCCAAAAGTTTTCCTCTTATTTTCTCTCTCCTATTTCCTCTCTTTCTTTTCTCTCTCTTTCCCACGCATCTCTCTCTCTTCTCTTCCCCTCACGATCGGCATCCACTAGCGCCACCACCGACCACCGGCGGCCAACAGCAGCGGCCGGCGACCACCGTCCCTCCTTATTCTCTCTCTCTCCTCACGGTTTGGTAAAAAAAAAAAAACAAAAAAAAAAATTCTTTCTCCTCCTAATTTAATTCTAGTTGTTTTATTATTTTAAGCATGATTTTGATTATGTTTTGGTATTGATTTTGGGTATTTGATATTGTTAGATTATTCATATGAATTTCAGATTTTTATATAATCAAAAACACCAATTTATCAACCCTATAATTTGGGATTTTAATGGTTATGGTTAGGGTTTGTTCCTTGATTGTTGTTATTGTTTAATTAATGATTTAAACGTGTTTTTAATGAGTTTAAAGCCCTTAATTTAATGCTGGAATTTTATTATACACACTACTTTTTAATTATTGTGTTAGGGTTTGATTACCCATAAAAGGGGAAAAGATTTTAATGATTTAAATATGATTACCTAGTCTATTGGTGATGTTTTATATTATATAAGTATGCTGGAATTTTAGAATCATAAAAACTAAGTCTTTTTGAAAGGATTTAAGGTACCCACTTAAAGAAAAGGTTTTATGGCTTTTAAACCATTAAATTGGGTTGGTTGGTTTAAAAATATTATAGTTGCTGGAAATTTGTGATAATAGTGGATTAATTAAAGCTATATTCTTATTTGTAGGAAGCTTTGAGTTAGGTGGTTTCTAGCGAGTGTGGTCGAGTTTAAGCATTTTTCAAGGTACATATGTGCACAAGAATATTTGTGTATGCATAGTATCATGCTAGTAGGGCTGGCAAACGGATCGGATCGGGGTTCGTGTTCGGGTTAGTTCAAATTTGGGTCGAAAACCCTCCACCCAAACCTGATCCGTTTAAGTTTTCGGGTCAAAATGCTCAAACCTAACCTGATCTTTTCGGGTTTGGATCAACCCGAAATTAAGCTGTTTTGACCCGATTTTCGTATTTTTTTTTTAATTTATTAAAATTGAATTATTAATATAGAAAAGGTCAGTACAAAGCATTACACCTAAGATTAATCATAGAAAACGATGCATATCACAAATAAAAATTTAATATAATATAAATCTTCTATAATTCAT